TGCATTCTGGTGCTTATCCTACAGGCGCCACACCAGGATTTATTGACTCTTGGTGTGATGCTGTAGGAATAAGTACTGGTGCTGTAGGATAGATACTGGAATGCTAGCTACAGGGTCGGTGGTTCAAATCTACCAGCTGCTCCTTGGAAACCCTCTAAGGGTCGCTATGAGTCGGACCCGACTCCATGGCACACCACTACCACCATGTATAGATACATAGTTTAAAAAATAAGTCTGGAATTGTTACAGCAGCACTATCTAATACAAATCTAATGTGTTGTTGTTGTTATTATGTGCCGTGGAGTTGGTTCCAACTCATAGCGAGCCTGTACAGGGTTTCCGAGGCTATAAATCTTTACAGGAGCAGAAAGCCTCATCTTTCTCCCGCGGAACAGCTGGTAGTTTCGAGCTGCTGACCTTGCAGCTTGCAGCCCAATTCGTAACCACTACGCTACCAGAGCTCCTTCATATGTAATTTAAAATATTCCAGTAGCTATCATTTAGTAAATAAAAACAGAAAAAGTTAAAGTTATGCTTTACAAATAGAACTTTATTTTTCTCTGCAGGCATATTTATTGTAAATGTAACTTTATAATACTAAATAATTACTGGATATGTAAATAATGATGATTTTTTAAATACTACAAAATGCACTTCTCAAAAAGCATGTTTTGCTTTTTAAAATCAAAACTAATCTCTGGGCTCCAGTTAGCTAGACACTGGAATTTTTTAATGAATCAATTAAATACACACACAAAATAAAATGTTATTAATTTAACATTAAAAACTCAAGCTTACCTGGAATCAGAAAGTTTGACAGCTGTAAACTGCTCTGGAGGACTAGGACCCTCGTCAACTGCAAAAGAAATTCACTGAAATAAGTTTGATATTTGATATAAATATATATGTAAAGATATTCTTTAGCTTTAAAAACTCTTCTCCTTTAAAATTATGGTAGCATAACATTCCATATTAGTCTGAGTCTGACGTAAGCATTAGGGAATGTTAAAGGCAGTAATAATCTTGACCTTTAAACTGTTCGCCTTTCTCACTATGATGATTAATTCTTTCTTTAATGGGTAAAAATTGGCTGTTACTAATTTACATGCATATAAGATCACTATGGAGTCCTGGTGTGGTGCTGTATGATAAGCACTGGACCACAAAGTCGGTTTGAACAGCAACGTCAGTGGTTCAAACTCACCAGGTGCTCCTTTGAAACCCTATATGGGGTCATTATGAGTCAGCACCAACTCCACGGCACACAACAACACAGGTCACTATGGGACTCCTGGTGTGGTGCTGTAGGATAAGCACTGGACTGCTAACCATAAAGTCGACAATTTCAACCCACTAGCTGCTCCTCAGAAACCCTATACAGGGTCACTGTGAGTTGGAACCGACTCGACAGCACATAACAATACAACCCTGGTATACACCCTTCTTGCTCAGTCACCATTCAATGTCTCCTTGCTCTGTTTGAACGACTGCATTTTGGTTTATGTACTGGTTCCTCATGAGCACAATTACGTACTGGAATATCCATCCTTTGCAATGTTATCCATAGCGTGTCATAATCTACACAGCTAAAAGTCTTTGCATAGTCAATAAAGCACAGGTAAACATCTTCCTGGTATTCTCTGCTTTCAGCCAAGATCCATCTGACAACAGCAATGACACCCCTGGTTCCACATCCTCTTCTGTATTGGCTTGAGTTTCTGGTAGTTCTATATTCATGCATTGTTGGAGCCATTTTTTAAGTCTCTTCAGCAAAATTTACTTGCATGTGATATTAATGATGTTGTTAAGATTTTTGCATTCCATTGGGTTACCTCTCTTTAGAATGGGCACAAATGAGGATCTCTTCTAGTCAGCTAGCCAGGTAGATGTTTTCTAAATTTCTTGGCATATATGAGTGAGTGCCTCCAGTGCTGCATCAGTTTTTGGAAATATTTAAAATTTGTATCTCACCAATTCTTAAGTCTTGTTTTTTGCCAATGTCTTCTGTGCACCTTGGACTTCTTCCTTCAGTATCATTGGCTCTTGATCATATGCTATCTCTTGAAATGGCTGAACACTGACCATTTCTTTTTACAACAGTAACTCCGTATATTCCTTTCATTTTCTTCTATCTTCTTTGATGCCTTCTTCATCATTTAATACATTGCCCATAGAATCCTTCAGTATTTCAAATTGAGACTGGAATTTTTTTTAGTTCAGCTTGAGAAATGTTGTGTGTATTCTTCCCTATTTGTTATCTAACTCCAGGTCTTTGTACAATTCATTATAATACTTGACTTTGCCTTCTCATGCTGCCCTTTGAAATTTTCTGTCTAGCTCTTTTACCTACTCATATTTTCCATTTGCTTTAGCATCTCTATGCTGGAGGGGAAGTTTCAGAGTCTCTTCTGACATCCGTTTTTGTCTTTTCTTTCTTCTTTATGACATTCTTCCTGTATGATGTTCTTGTCATCGCATAGGTCTTCTGGTCTTTGGTCATTCTGTCAAGTGAATCAAATCTGTTCTTGAGATGGTCTCTAAATTTAGATGGTCTGTAAATTCTAGGTTTGATAATCCATTACAATGGCCACAAAGAACTCAGATATCAGTCTCATAGTTATGACGCTTATTAGGGGAATTATGTTACAATTTAGGACTAGGAATGCTCAGGGTACAGACATTCCAGTCAGGAAGCTTCTCCTGAGCTGTGACCATATGCAGGCCTCTCTCTGCCTGGTAAATATTACAAAATTCTTTCACAGTTTCTGATCAATGCTCACAGGAAACACTACTACACTGAGCCTCAACCTGAAGGCATTTGGCTCTAACTCCCTTAATTAAGAGTCTGGAGGGATCCTACTTGGCAAGTAAGCCCCTTGCTCAAAGTTGCTCAGCTTTACTTGCTCCGTGGGCTGGGAATTCCATTACTCTGGTACTGTGACTCTTAGTTCTGCTGCTGCTGCTCCCATGTCACAGTTTTCTGGCCCTGGGTAGTGCAGGTTCACTACACTGGAATCTCAGGGTCCAATGGACGCGCTCTACTTTTTTGGATGGTAATGAGATCCCACCATCTGCTCCTGAGCTGGTTCATTTTATACCCATGCTAGTTTCAAGTTTTTACAATGATAATGAACTCTGTTAACATACGGAGCTGAATCATGTGATCCTATCAGTATCTTTTCCCATCTTCTCTTATCCAGACCCATCTGGAAACAAATTGTTTGGTGGGATTTACAAAGACTAAGGCTAGAAGAAACATACTAAATAATTCACTACACCACAGTGTTTTTTTCCCTTCCCCTGCTTCTATCACATACAAACCTTCTTTATGTGGAGCTCCCAGTGTAAAAAGACCATTGTCAAGTGCATGTATATAAGTTCCTTTATCCATTTCAATGGCTATGGTTCCTGAAATTTCACCAAAGTTTGTTACTGTCCACCAGATCCCTAAAAAATAAGATCAATATTTAAACTTTAAATTTTAGATGTAACACAAAATTCTCTTTGTTGTTGCTAACATCATTATCCTTCTAAACTTTTAATTTTTTAGTTGTAAGAAAGAACACAGGAAGGTCCCATATGCCCTTCACTCACTTTCTCACAAGGATATAACATGTTGTAGTATTACAGTACTATGCCCAAACCAGGGAGATGACATTGATCTAATCCTGGGACCTTATTCACATTTCACCAATCATATGCATTCATTTCTGCACGTACATTCATGTGACTATTATCAAGATTAGGTTCCTTTGAAATAAAAAAACCAAAAACAAGTAATTCACATGAAGGCACAAAATAATATACAGAAAACAGTCTAGGCTCCAATCATCACACCTACTACTGTCCAGAGGCAATGACTGTTAACCTGTTTTTTATGTACAAGCATATTCCCTCAGAAAGCCTTTATGGTATAGTATTCTTCACTATGATTTTAGAGGAGCAAAATGAGAACTTCTATGTCTACGTATACTAATGTATACATAGAAATGTGAAACTCTAGGTTCCAGTTATTTAAATAGATCATTGCAAAAGTTTTTATTTTAATGAAGGAAAAAAACGGCCTCATATCTTCCCCTGAATTATACTTTGACAAGCGTAGAAATGAAGTCAGCCATTGACTAGACACTAGATGGCACTAAGGAATTCTTGTAGTCATGTCAGATCTTATAATGACATGGTGTTATGTAAAAAAAGAGTGGCTACAGGGAGAGAGAGAAACAGACCTCATAAGAGATACACATTTATGTGTTTATGATATAACATCTGTGATTTGTTTAAAAATTCTCCAGAAAAATGAAAAATGTGTATAAATGAGACAAGACTAATAAAACATTGATAATTACTAATACTGGTGTATAAGTACATTGGGGATAAATTATACTCTTTACTACTTTCATAATAGTTGAAAATTTCTATAATAAAAAATTCCAAAAACTAAGTTAAGCACATTACACAAAATTTACTACTGAACTAAACAACTCAAGTGTTTCATTACTCATTTTAAAGGATATTAGTACAATTTTAGATACAGACCCTTAGGTTTAGAGAATACTTGAGGTATTTTTGACTTTTAGCTGTAATTATTTTCATTAGAAGGAACAAATGCTTTATTTAGAACCATGATCAAAAGCGTTGTGAGCTGCAATTCCTTAGGTGTGCAGAAATTAGTGATTTTAAATTATTTACATTTGATGTGTTCTATGCCACATTGGGAAGAATGGTGTAGTTGCTAAAGTGCTCAGCTGTAAATCAAAAGGTTGGCAGTTTGAACCAACCAGAGTTCTTCTGGAGAAAGATGTTGCAATCTGTTTCTGTAAATCTTTTTAGTTTTGGAAACTCTATGGGGAAGTTCTACTCTGTCCGCCAGGGTACCCATGAGTTGGAATTGACTTGAAGGCAGTTTGTTTGTTTTTAAATGCTATGTTCAACTAGTACACTTAAGACTGATAAGCTGGTTTTAATGCAATATCTAATTAGTGGTTTACAGATGAAGATGACATTCATTCATTATGCTTTAAACTAAATAGACATGCTTAATGTTATTTCTATCTAAATATTATATATGTGAAGTTAGGTGCTCTTGCTATATAGTCTTACAACACAAAGATTGTCACAAAGCATTGTTTTTCATTTAACTGTTTATGAGGGTAGAATCCAGATTTATCTTATGTATGGTTTCTACAATTACATATATATTCATGTAACTGGTTTAAATAATATTTATGCTTATGAGGCCTTGAAAACTATGTATTAGAATCTCTGGGGCTACTAAGCTGATAAATGGTTCCTATTAAAGCAGAGAATTATATTTCTTCTTTCTTGTGCTTTGACTGATAAAAGATAATGAAGAGAAGGTAGTAGTGACATCTATTGTGAGAAAGAAACCTGAAAATGTTAATGACACTTGATCACCTTAAGATACATATGAATTCCCTCTATAATTTTGTTGTTGTTTGTTTCATACTAGTTTATTTAGGGGTTCCATTTTCAGTCCTCAATAGAGTTCATGTATTTTTCATATGCTTCTTCACTCATTAGTTTATCAAGTTCTGATGAACTGCTCAATGCCATCTTGATCAGTAAACCATCTTCATAACAGGATTTGTTAATGAGTCCTGGATTTTCTGTAAGAGCATCATTAATTTCTTGTTACCTCTCCTGATACAGGAGAGTAGAGTTCACTAGCAGCGTTCACATTTTCCAAAGCACCAAACTCATCTTGTTTACTCAATTTTGTTCCAAGAAGACTGCAGTAAACAACATCTCCCAAAGCTTCCTATATAGAACTGCTGATTCCCACTGTTCCAATACCATTGTCTGTTGTTACCCACTCATGTCTGTGAAACACTTACGTACTGAGAACAGAGCACAGCTGGTTCACAGTGTATACACGGCGCCGGTTCCCGGCCCCCAGCGCAGCTCCGAGCAGGGCATAGTTTACAACGCCATGTTCATAGGGTGCAGAGGGTTGCTTCTCCCGCTACAATTTTTAACTATTTATTGCCATCAAGTAAAATATTTGTAATAAGAACTCAACAGAACAGAATGAAAATGAACTCACCAATGATATCAAGTTGGGTTTCTTCATCCTCTTCTCTTTTTCGTTTCTTATCTTTGCTCTTCTTCTTTTTACTATAGAACATAATTTATACAGATGAGTTTAAATATATTGAAATGTATATTAAATATCACACTATGGAAACTTAAGGGAGTCTTTTTTTTTAATGTTTATTGTGAATTATGTGATAGTTTACATGTGAGAACATTTGTTTTATATTCATTCTATCGTATATTGTTTCATTGCCATGGTTACAATCCCCTCCATGCACCATCAACCAACCAAAGGGTATACCCTGCAAGCCTGCCCCGCAAGTCGTCAGCACATAGCCCCTCTCCCTCTTTGGGTCTAGAGTCCCCAGCTGCTCCATCTCTCCAAGTCATTGTCTCTACCTACATCTCTGATGTCACTGCTTCTCTGGGTAGGGTCCCGCTCTTCCCCTTAGGGGAGTCTTTTAAATAGTACACTGATTTATAAATGAGTGATTTGCAATGATTTACACTGATATATTTTTACTTATACAATGAGGTCCAATTAGTACAGAAGCACAGAATCTGGAACCAGACTGCCGTGTTTAAGTCCTGATTATGCCCCTTCTTAGCTGTGTGGGTTTTGGAAAGTTACTCAACCTCTTTGTGACTCAAGTTTCCCTACCTAGAAAATGGGGATAGTAATATAATTCATCTTATAAACTTATTCTGAAGATTAAGAGTTAGTATGTACCCTCATACCTTGCCGTTGAATATGTAAAATGGAGCAGCCACTTTGGAAAAAACTTGTGGGTACCTCAAAAACTTAAACACAGCTACCATATAACCACCAATTACATATACTTTAAGAAAAGTGAAAACATGTTCATATAAAACTTGTATTTTAATATTCACAGCAGCATTATTCAAAATAGCGCAAAGATAGAAACCACCCAAATACCCATCAACTCATGAATGGATAAAAAAGAGAGTTTTCATATATATACACACACACACATAAACACAAACACACAGTGGAGCAGTGGAGTCCTGGTGAGGAACTGTAGGATAAAGTATTGGACTGTTGACTATAAGGTTGGCAGTTCACACCCATTAGCCACTTCTTGGATCCAACTTGACGGTACTTACCACTAACAACAAATATACACAATAGAATATCATTCTACCATACAAAGGAATAAAGTACTGAGGTATACCATGAAACATTATGTTAAGTGAAAAATGACAGACACATAAAACTCTACTGGTATAAAATGTCCAAAATAGGCAAATACAGACAGAATGTATATTAGTGATTTGTTGCCGTTGTTGTTAAGTGCTGTCGAGTCACTTCTGACCCATAGCGACCCTGTATTGGGTTTCCAAGGAGCAGCTGGTGACCTTGAACCGCCGACCTTGCAGTTCAAATGGCTTTGCAGTCTGAGCATTAACCCACAGCGCCACACCAAGACTCCACATTAGTGATAAGTGGAGAAAAAAGTGAAGTTGTCAAAGACTTCATTTTGCTTGATCCATAATCAACACTCATGGAGGCAGTAGTTAAGAAATCATATGGCGCATTATATTGGGCAAATCTACTGCAAAAGATCTTTTTAAAGTGTTAAAGAGAAAAGATGTCACCTTGAGGACAAATGTGTACCTGACTCAAGCCAGAGTATTTTCAATCACCTTATATGCATGAATAACACACTGGAAGAATCAATGCATTTGAATTATGGTGTTGGCGAAGAATATTGAAAGCAAGATAATAAAAATAAAAATAAAAATCACTGAGCTATATACTTTGAAAGAATGAATTTTATGGTATATGAATATCTCAATTAATAAAACCCCAAACGACCAAGGGTGATTTAAAAAAAAAAAAAAAAAAAAAGATGTAACTAAGCTCAGTACTTGGAACTTAGAAAACGCTATAAAATGAGTCAAACCCACGGCTGTCCAGTCAATTCCAACTTACAGTGACTCTGTGGGATACAGCAGAACTTGTCCAAGGCTGTAAATCTTGACAGAAGCAGACTGTCACATTTTCCTGCTATAGAGTAGTCGGTAGGTGGGTTGCAAATGTAGACCTTTTGGTTATCAGCTGAGTTTTTATAACCACCAAGGCTTAGGAAGCGTGATACATAAGTATAAATTATGACAGATAGTAATGATGATTATAAGAATGCATACTTGTTTGCATTTTCAATATAAAATAAGTTTTCTGAAACTAAGTGTGGTTCCCTCTCTGCCCTGTTCATATTTATTCAGGATAAGTTCCTGAATGCAGGACCCCAAGGCAGAGTTCCCAAGAACAGTGGCCCCAGTGTGCTCCTTGATATTTCCTTTCCATCTCACCTTAATGTACACCAAACTGTTTATTACTGAGGCCAAGAGGAAATGCTCTACATTTGTATGAATAGTCAACCCCTGACAAACCTACCACTTAGAAAAGTGGAACCATGAGTTGAATGATACTTTCCTCTAAAAATCTAATAATCAAATATCTCCCACTTCCTCTTTGCAGTTGGTTCTATTGACTGGAAGTGATCCACGTTTGTGCACATTGTAAAGAAAAGTGATCCAACAGAAGGAAGACATTATTGAACAAAATCATTAATATCATACATGCGTAAAACTTTGCTGAAGATAACTCAAAAATGGCTGTAGCATCAGTACTTCAATAAGGGAGTATTAGATATTCAAGTAAGACTCAGATGAGGCTATGGAATGAAGGATATCATTGCTGCTGTGGGATGAGTCTTGTCTAAAAGCAGAGAATACCAGAACAAACATTTACCTGAGCTTGATACCATGCAAAGATATTCAAATAGGTCATAACAAATTATGGGTAAGATTATGAAGAATGGGAATTCCAGATCACTTAATTGTGCTCTTATGGAATCTGTATATAGATCAAGTAGCAGTCATTCAAACACAAGAAGGGGATCCTGCGTGGTTTAAAATCAGGAAGGGTGTGTGTCATGATGGTTGCATTTTTTTTTTTTTCCACTATACTTATTCAGTCTGTATGCTGAGCAAATAATCCTAGAGCTAGACTCTATGAAGAAGAATGCAACATCAGAATTGGAGGAAGACTCATTAAGAACGTGTGATATGCAGATGATACAACCTTGCTTGCTGAAAGTAAAGAAACTTGAAGCACCTGCTGATGAAGACCAAAGAATAAAGCCTTCAGTGCAATTACACCTCAATATAAAGTGAGCAAAAAATCCTCATAAATGGACCAATAAGTAACATCATGATACACAGAGAAAAAACTGAACTTGTCAAGGATTTCATTTTACTTGATCCCCAATTAATGTCTGTGGAAGCAGCAGTCAAGAAATCAAATGACGTATTGCATTGGAAAAATCTGCTTCAAAAGACCACTTTAAGGTGTTTAAAAAAGCACAGATGTCACTTGGAAGACGAACGTGCACTAATCCAATCTATGGTATTTTCAATCACGTCAGATGCCTGGGAAAACTGGACACTGAATAAGGAAGACAGAAGAATTGATGCCTTTGAATTGTGGTGTTGGTGAAGAGTACTGAATACACAATGGACAGAAGACTGAATAAATCTGTTTTGGAATAAATGCAGTCAGAATATCCTTAGATGCAAGGATGGTGAGATTCTGTCTCGCATATTTTGTACATGTTATCAGGAGGAAGCAATGCTTGCTAAAGTAGGGGGTCAGTGAAAAAGAGGAAGATGCTGACAGAGATGGATTGACACAGTGGCTACAACAGTATACTTGTAAACATAGCTCAATTCTGCAGATGGTACAGGACCAGGCATGAACCACTAATTAATTGAAATCTTGTAACTGAAGTCTTGAGGAATGTTGGGGCAATTATAAAGATGTGCAGGACATTCCCAAAGCCATAATTGAGCAACTACATCGGGGACATGTCATTAAGAAAGACCACCCATAAAAATTCATTTTTACTTCCTTGTTAGATATTTTACTAGTCAGACTGGTTTACCTAGTACCCTAGGCATTAACTTTAAGGGCAAACCTTCTACTGGGACAAACTCACTGGCAGGAGTCTGAATTAAGAACCCCCATGCTTGATAGCCCAGAATAAGTTCTCTCTGCTCCTACCAGAAGCCTTTGGAAGGAAAACCATCTTGAAAATATGGTGCATATGTACCCAATTTGCATGGCCCTGGCTGATTATCCTTAAGAATAAACATGATGCCTTTTCCATACACCAAACCTTTGTACCCTAGCAAAGCCTTTGTTCCTGGAGAAGAATGTAAGCTTCCATTAAGCCTTCCCTGGTCTGTTTGCAAGCCTCTTTCTTATAATAAACTTTTGCTGTAAGGAAACTGCTGCACCTGACTTCTTAATCCAGTAGAAGGCAAGACTCCTCTTAAAGGGCAGAGATGCAGTAAGCCCACACCACAACAGCACCAAACAACACAAGTTACTATACATATTATCTCATTTAATCTTCAGAATAATTCTTTTAGAGGAGTATCATTGATCCCTCTTCATAAACAAGTAAATAGAGTCTGTAAGACATTAAGCAATTTATTCCACAATACAAAATGATTGTTGGGGTCCATATCGCGATCTGTCCTGGTGTAGCGCTGTGAGCTAAAGTGTCAGACTGCAAAGTTGTTTGAACTGTAAGGTCAGTGGTTCAAGCTCACCAGCTGCTCCTTGGAAACCCTACACAGGGTCGCTATGGGTTGGAATCGACTTGACGGCATTTAACAACAACATATTGCTATCATACTCCCTCAAAAGAACCGATAGATCTGTGTTGGAAGAGGTGCAGTCAGAGTGCTCCTTGGAGGCCAGGATGGTCAAACTTCGTCTCTCATACTTCCAACATATTGTCAGGTGGGACCAGTCCCTGGAGATGTATATCATGTTTGGTATAAGGTGGAGGGTCTGAAAAAAGAGGAAGACCCCCAGCGAGATGGATTGGCTAAGCAGCAGCATCAATGGGCTCAAGCGTGGAAATGACAGTGAGGTTGGCCCAAAATCTGGCAGTGTTTCGTTCTGGTGTGCATAAGGTCACTATGGGTCAGTAACGACTCGATGGCACCTAACAACAAAAACAACTCCCGTAAAGGCTGACCACCTCAGAACCCCTATGCAGGGGCATTATGAGGCGGAATTGGCGGGATGGTACTGGGCTTTCTATATCCTTATCAAAGCACAGGGAATCCTGGTATGGCGCTGTGGGTTAATGCGCTGGACTGCAAAATCGGTTTGATTGCAAGATTGGTGTTTCAAGCTCACCGGAAACACTATAAGGGTCAATAAAGTTGAGTTGGAACCAACGCTGCGGCAATTAACAGTAACAACAATCAAAGCACATATCTTTAGCAACCATGTGATTGATTCAACTTCCTCTTCTTATACTACAATTATTTAAAAACAAAACAAAAAAACCACAAAACCTTTTGGGGGATGGGGATGGGAAGGAAGTAATGGTGACAATACTTAAACCAGGAAGAAATCGGTGTGGCCTACTCATCAGAGCACTGTAGACCCACCATTGGGAGAGCTGGAGAGGTCACATAGTCAGACAAAGAACGAAACGTGTGGCCCCGGGGCTGCTGGTCTCCGCCCTCTTCCGACTGTTAACAGTCAGGGAGAGTCTCCGCGGCCAGTCTCCCAGCTCGGATACAGGCGCCAGGCACCAAGCCGCAGCTGTTTTCTACTCCCTGGGCTAGGAGCCTAAAGACACCGTTTCCAGGGGACGGGCGAGGGCAGTCAGAAACGAACATAAGATTCTCTCACATGAGCCTCCGGTCTCACCTCTTAGCCTTTGTTCCCTTGAGGACGAGTTTGGTGGACTTCACATAGGAGTATTCGGCCATGGCACTGGTGAAACTTGCAAAACAGAGGTGGAAACCAGTTCAGAACAGAGTACCACAACTAGAGCAGAAACGGGAGAAGAAGGCATAAAAGTGGATGACTCCGGGAGGTAATGGAGGCTTTTCTTGTTGAAATCCCCGTTTTCACTTCATCATCCTCATAAAAAAAAAAAAAAAAAAGCACAAACACAAAATTCTACTTCCTGTTTACTTGCTACGAGCTACGGCAACTGCAGAGGACCGAAATATGTCAGCGTTTAGTTGCTACTTCTAGCGGAAATGCCGTATGCGATTTGTGGATGTTAAGCGTCCTCGTGTGGGTTCCAACTCATACTAACTCTGTACAGGGTTTCTAAGTAGTGGCTAGTGGGCTTGAACCCACGACCTTAAGGTTAGCAGGCCAGTGCTTATTCTACAAGGTCACAGCAAAACGCACTCAAATGAGAAAACCTGAGGGACACGCCCCCTGGAGGATCCGGCAAGTCTTGCAGTCGTGGTTTAACTCTCAAGCCTCCTGTTAGGTCTTAGGAGTTGGGACAATGTAATCAGCCAGCCAACTGGGGTCATTGTGGCCCATGCATTGGGTAGCTCAGGCCTTTGAATCCTTCACAAGACATTCCAATGAAATAACTGTTTATTATATATAGTTTTTATCTGGGGGAAATTGGAGTATGCCCAGGAAATAATTAGGGAATCATATGAAATATAATTAAATGCCAAATTTTGGGCTGCAGCTATCATAAGTGCTATAGAAAAAAACTGTTGAGGATGTTACAGAATACTAAAGTACTCACAGAAGTCTTTCTCTATAGGGTGGGCTTTCAGGGAGTCAGTCATCTGAATATTTCTCCTGCCTGCTCTAATCTCTTCAACAATTGCATAATTCACCTCTTTGATTCTGTCTTCTGCACCTTGTAAGCAATCTTGCATACTGAATGATCGTTCTAAAAAGAAAGAGCTGATCATTACTATTCCCTTTCCTAAAATCTATTAAAAGCAGTCCATTGCTTTCATAGGAAAAAAAAAATATAATCACTTAGTAAACTATTGAAAATCTGTGTCTATTCCCACCACTTAATTGTGGCCAATTTGTTCCAGTCATGTTAAATAATAGGAAATCTTTTAATGCTCTATGTTTGCTCTTCCTACTTACACTGTTCCCCTTCCTATACATGGCTCTTTTTTTTACCTTTAAGACAAACTCAGGCCCTTTTTAACCTTTACTACAAACTCAGGTGACATTTCCTCCATAAAATTATCTTTGAGTCACCTCCTGTATGTCCCCAAATATCCTGCTGTTTCTCATGTGAAATTTCTCTTGTTAGCAGTCTGCTTTTTAAGGGCAGGAGCTGTAGCTTATTCATTCTTCTGTTTGACCTACACCTTATTGAGATGCCTTCAATTTACTTGATATGGATTTTCTATCCAAAGCCTTAATTCCCACCAAATGATTGGGTGGTGGTCGGTTGTGTGTCACTGAGTCTATTCTGACTCATAGCAACTCTATTAGGGTATCCGAGGCTGTAAATCTTTATGGAAGCAGAAAGTCTCATCTTTCTCTCATGGAGCGACTGGTTCGATTCGAAGTACTAACCTTGCAGTTAGCAGTCTAATTTATAATCTGCTATGCAACCAGGGTTCCTTGAATGATTGGGACCATACAAATAGTGTGTGCAGGACTCTATCACTGGGATTGGTTAGTTTTGCTATCCTGCTAGAATTAAAAGGAGCCATCTCAGAAACACGAAAAGACCATCAAGGATGATCAAGAAAAAAACTCATGATTGGAGCGTGAAATCCCTACCCAGAACAGGGGTGACAGCAGAGGTAGTGGCATAAAGAGACCAAGTTTTTAGGCCTAGGGGTTGAGTATAAAGCTGAGTGCCTACTGGCAGGAGGCTGGCTTGCAGAATGTGTCCTTTGGCCATTTACAGACTAGCTAAAGGAGCTTTGTAACACTTGTCTGAGCAGGGCAGAAGCCACGAGGTCACATGACTGAGTGAGGTGTGCCTGAAGTATGACAGACAGGAGGGACACCTGAATGGAAGGCCTTGCTGCATCCTGAATTGTTTCTATACCTGAATTGTATCCTATTCACTCCCTTAATAAGCCCCACAATCTTGAGTATTGTCGTCTGTGAGTTCTGTGTGGCCATTGCACTTGATTATTGAATCCAGCTGTGAAGCAGAGTGTGCTGTGGGAGGCACGTTGATGTTAGAATACGGTAACACTTATAGCACATTCTAAGAATCAGGCTTGGTCTGACTTTGAGATTCATTCTCTTTCTCCTTTGTGAAGCCACAGGAAATTGGACATGGCCTTTGTACCACTATTGCACCTACCCTGTGCCTTCTTCAGAGTCAGCACTTAATACATGTCTGTTAAAATAGTATTCTAAAGCCTGACGTTAAACTGGAAGACAGCAAGGAGTAACCAACCACTAGAGAGGAAGGGTGTGGTAGAAAATGAGGGGAAAAACTGGGTGGGCTGGAAATGCCATATTGATGGAGGTCATTTGAAGCCAATTCCTTAAGTAGTTATCACACATCTGTACTGGGTGTGCATGGTAATATAAGCGATGTGTCAGACTCACAGCCTGCTCTGAAGAGCCTTCAACTAAACAAGTCACCCACAGTAAGCCAGTTGTTGTTTAATGCCATCAAGTCAGTTCTGACTTGTAGTGACCCTGTATAGGGCTTCAAGAAGTGGTTGGTGAGTTTGAACCACCGACCTTGCTGTTCTAACCAACCTGTGGTCTAGTACTTATCCTACAGTACCACACCAGAACTCCTGCAGTAAGATGAGAGAGCATACATACATTTAAGAGTGTAGCTTCTGGAATCAGACTGCTCAGGTAGAGAAATCTGGTTTTCTCCTCATAAGCTGAATTAATTTGGGCAAATTGTTTCACCTCCCACCTACTGTCAATGCATAGATTGCTATCCTGTAGTAATCCTGTAGGACAGAATGAAATCTCCTCATAAGGTTCTCAAACCGTAAATCTTCATGAAAGCAAATTGCCACATCCTTCTTCCATAAAATGATTGGTGGGTTTGAACTGTGGACCTTTCAGTTAGCAGCTAAGTACTTAACCACTGTGCCACCTGGATTTCTATACGTGGCACCCTAGAATACGTAGTCGACCTCAAGGTTGGTTAGAATTGCAGGGTCAGCAATTCAAACACCAGCTGCTTCTCGGAAACCCTATGCACGGTTGCTATGAGTTGAAACTGACTTAATGCCACTCAACAACAACAACAATAAGAACATACCTAAATTTCTCCAGCCATAAAATGGGTTATGATAAATAGTAAAGGAATTAATATAGGAAAATACTTAGAAATGGCTTCAGTAAAAAATACATACATCACAAATGCTAGCTATTCAAAGTAACACAATTATCAAAGTACTATAGAACATGTTCAAATAAAGTCTTAGAGTAGCATATGATGGGGACATGTTTAAATTCAAATATCTTATGCATGTCATCAGGTGAAGCTTAGTTGTTGAGGTAGCATCTGAGAATGTCTTTCACAGTAGTTGGATCTTAACAGAAGGAGACGTGGGTGGGAAAGGCAGATATGACAGATGGTGGCAACAGCATGAGCAAAAGCATGGAGGTATAAGAGTAGATTTCTGTAAGGAGCAGTGAGCTATGCAGTTGGCTGGAGCACATGGTATGTAGTGTAGTGTGCGGGGAATGAGGATTGAGAAGGTAAACTGGGAGCATGTACAGCTGAATCTGAATGAAATCACTAAGCAATTAGAAGTTGTCAAGAAATCTAATGATGTATTGCACTTCAAAAATCTACTGTAAAAGACCCCTTTAAAGTTTTAAACATTGAAGATGTCATTTTGAGGACTAAGGTGTGCCTGACCCAAGTCATGGTTCTTTCAATCACCTGCTGTGCAGTAGAGAAAACTGGACAATGACAAAGGCAAAGCAAAGAAGAATTGATGCACTCAAAGTTTGCTGTTGGCAAAAATTGTGAATATACTGTGGATTGTCAAAAGGACAAACAAATTAGTCTCAGAAGAAGTGCAACCAGAATGCTCCTCAGAAGAGAGAATGGTGGAACTTCAACTCCTTTACTTTGTATGCATTATCAGGAAAGACCAATCATTAGAAAAGGATATCATGTTTGATAGCGGCTCAGTGAAAATGAGCAAAGTCCTCAGTGAAGTGGATTGACACATAGCCACAAGAATGAATGGACTCAAACATATGCAGGATCATGGAGATGGGGTAGGAACAGGCAACGTTTAATTTTGTTTTATATAGGGTCCCCATAAGTCAAATCTGTGGTAACTAACTAACAACAACAAAGGACAGGGAAGTGAGATGAACAGAGCAGAATTCCCAGAAGATTAATTTGGCAGCAGTAGGTATGATAGACCACGTAAGTGTTATGAGGACCTTCCCATTAGAGCCATGGCTCCTTACAAAGACTAGAAAACATAGACCAGTTTGGCTTTAAGAATCTTGTTATTAAGTTGTTAA